CACTAACTTGCAATTGAGTTCGTCACTTAGAATATATAAATTCTCTAAATTTCCTAAGTCCCTAAACCTTTAAGTTCGTAAACTAAGTGAAGTAATTCCAAGGCATTCCAGATACCTGTAAGACGTAAGATTCCCTAAGGTTGTAAAGTCTGACGATAAGAAAGTTACTTACCGCAGCAAAGGAACTTAGATAAATTACGTGAAGTAATTAGAGAAGATTATTCCCGGTGACAATGTCTATTATTCCAAAATTTTATTGGTTCAACTTTGTATCGGCTCTTTAAATGATAATTTATTCACAAAATAAAGTTTTATTAAATACAGTATGTATATGCCAAGTGTTATACTTATTCTGTAGAAACTTAACTATGCTTTATACTTATATTTTAAAATTTAAAGGTATCATCCAAAATATCAACAAATTCAATATCATCATAATTTAAATTATCAGATCCACTTTCTGCATCACTATCAGACCTAGCACTTATATTAATACAACTCTCTATTTCACGCTCTATGATCTAATCGAGATCAAAGAGAGTATTTGACATAAATTCTTTCTTGAAGGCGTCTGGAAGTTTCCACCTATGATATAATTTCTTATGTGATCCAGAGAAGGCAATAGTATGACCTTTGATTTTTGCAAATCTGATATACGATTCACATAAATAACAGCAACTCTTGGAAACTGCTATAAATTTCCTTTCCTTGTCATTATTCATTATGTGAGACAATACATTCAATTCTATGTGTAAATATATGTGATTACCATTTTCATGCTCCAGTTGCTTAGCTACATTACCATATATCTCTTCTAGTTTACTTCTTATGACATAATCTTTCAAACATATTTTCTTGAAATTTTTATATCCTTTTTATTGATTACGAAAAAAATTTTGGATAACATCTTTACATGAAGATATGGATTGATCGACATGAATAGGATCTAATAAATTCATATCTATACTAGAAAATAAGTTTTTATACTTATCTTTACATATACAATTTGTGATATTCCTCAAAGACCCAATATAAGATTCCACCTTTTTTATATGTTCTAGAAATTTTTTCAGAAATGTAAGATCATCTTTGCTATATGATAATACTTGTTACAAACCCTAGATATAGCGAATTTTTTCTTATCGTTATATATATCATCAGCGTTGATTTTTTTATTTTTAGTATAATCTAAGAAAGACTGAATATATTCATTATCTATCTTGACTTCCTTATTAGCTATTTTATTCCTAAGTTTGTTTAATCTAGATTCAAGCTTTTTGGAACAGTACTTTATTATAGTACCATATAGATCTTTCACATCATTTCTATTAAGTGCCTGTTTGAATGTTATGGAAGCCTCTTTAGACACATTTATCAGGGTTTCTTTAACTTTGTTGAGATAATCAAGATTTTTAATACTCCAAGCATTGTTTTTAGTGATGTAAACTTTGCATTTGTTGGGTAAATTTTTCATATTTACTGCCACCACTTCTCTGTTTCTTGCTAATATAGTCGCTAGATTACAAGAAAATTTGTCAAGGTCTGATAGTTAAATGTTTTCTTCAGTTGCTTCGCCAATGACAAATTTGACGCTTCCAGCAACACATAATTTACTATAAAATTCTTTCTCTTGCGACATTGCCTTTTTTTTGATATTAGGATAAATTACTAGCTGAGACATTACGTAACTGAATTTGAAATCCTATTTGTCACACATTAGTTAATTGTCACTGGGGTAAAAGTAGTGAAATCTGAAATCGGTATATATTTCTTGATAGATCAATAAAACTTTATCATAAAAAATTTTATTTAGGATAAGTATTTTTTTTTTGTATTTTTTTTTGAAATGATTTTTATTAAATTTATACAACTTTATTTTATATTTTAGATATAAGAATGATAAAAGTTATTATCTTTATTTATTTATGCATTTTTTCTTCACTTTCTAAATACTTATTAAATTGTAAATTATGTTGATAAAGGGTTGAAAATGAAGGAAATGTGTTTGAAGATTATGTAAGAGATAAAAGAAAAGGAGAAGTAGTATTATTATTTGAAAAAAATGTATATGAATTATTTTGAAGGAGTAAAATGCACATGAATTATTTAAAAAAGGAGAATGTGTACATAAACTATTTGAATTTGAACTGTTTGAAAGGTGCATATGTGAATTATTATTTAAAGAAGAACATTTGTATGGTTCATTTAAAGAAGAATGTATATGTGAATTATTTAAGAAAGGTGAACGCACATATAGATTATTTGAATTTGAATTATTTGGAGGAAGATGTATATATGTATTAGTATACGAATCATTTAGAAAAGGAAAATGAGTAAGAGGTATAGGAGGTGTAATAGGTATAGTAGTGATGAGTGTAGATGCAAAGAATCGAAACTCATTTGAAATGTTTTCTTTTTCCTATTAAAAAAACATTGCTATTTAATTTTTCTAATAATTATTTAACAAAAAAATATAAAAATATAAAATTATAATATCTTTTTATCATCATATTTAGCTATAAATTTTTTAGCTTCTAAGAAACTTTAATCTTTTTATTATATAATTAAAAGATAAAACTTGTTATAATATATAACGTATTTATAAAATTTTTTTTAAAAATATTATTATTTATAAAAAGAAAATTTATAGTAAATAAGCAAGCAAATTTGCTTGCAAAACTTTATTATCTAAGAAATAATATGAAATATTTTCAAAACTTGTCAAATGTATTTTAAAAAATACATTTGATTAGATATCTATTAATATAAATTTTAAGAAGATAATAAATAATATAAAATAAAAGTAAAATATATTATATAATAAGATAAGGTAAAAATTTATATTAAAAAAATATTTTTATAAGTTAAATAAATATAATCATAAAATAATAATCATAACCTTGATGATATCAGATTTATAATATATTATAAACTATTTATATTTATAGATTTATACATTTTATATAAACTAAAAAATTTTCAAAAAAATATATTTTTTATAAATATTAATAAATATTAAAATAATTAATTCTGAAAATTAAATAAATTTATAAAATTTAATAGCTTTTTGATATAAAAAATTCAAAATTTTATGTTTATCAATTGGATTTTTGATAGATATATTATCAAATAAATAATAAATAATTAATAATTTCTAAATATTTATTAATTTATAAATTTATTAATTTATTATTATTTTTTTTATGGAAAATTTTAGGATATTTCTTAACTTTAAAAATGTTTGATTATACAAAATGAATTAAATAGTAAAATTATATGTTTTTTATCTATATCAATTAAATGTAAATATAGAATAAACTAATTTATAAATTCTTTAAATAATAAAACATTATTATTGAATTGGATTTATCTCAATGATAAATTTGAAATAAAATATAAAAAATTTATATAACAGTAGATTTTGAAAAAATCCGGTAAAATAGTTTTGTATTCCCTTAATGCTATTTTTATTATTTTTTAAAATCTTGAAATTAAGCACCCCTTTTTGCAGTCATGTGATCGACAAAACTGGTGGAGGTGCTTACTGTAATACGAATAGATGAATTAGAAAACCTGTATTAGCTATTTAATTTATAAAGGGGTGCTTTATTTTCGGGAGGTGCTTAATTTCAAGATTTAATAGTTTAAGATGGGGTAAACTCACAATGCAAGGTGATACTAAACATCTGCCATTGGTTAGGATCTCAGTAAATTTTTTTTTATACGTGCAAATCGAGAATATCGTGATTTTCGCAAAAAGTCGTCACACCTAATGACCGCAAGCCTCTTTTTTTTTAATATTGTTTGTTATCCATTTCGTTAATATTATTTCAATAAAAAGTTAGTCAAGTATGGTGAGAGCCATTGCACTTTCTTCATATATTCCTTTAAAATAATCCATTACACATCTTGCATTACTCCTAAACATGTAAGGTCGGACAGCATTATCATTATAGTGCATTGTAACGTGTTCCGAAATAATATTAAGGCTTTTTACAATAAAAAAAAAAGGTCTTTTAGTTTGGTGCACTTTCCTTTTATGGAAAACTGACAATCTTAAAAACAACGTTGGGAACAAAGGGAAAGTATTTTTTCAAAGGTTTTTTGGGGTTTGCTTTGTTAAATATTTTCCTTTTTTATTTAAAAATAGACAAGCTATTTTCATCGTCATGAATAATTATATAAGGAACCATGGAATTACAAAAAAAAAAAAATAAAAAAAAATTTTTTTTTTTTTAAAAAAATCATTTATTCAAAAAGAATTTAAACATCATTTTCATTTTGTTTCTGCTTTGGTTCAGAATTACAAAAAATCATAATCATAAAAAAATAATATAACAAATGTCTCGAAGAAATAGTTTAATCATCAAAGTAATTATTAATTAAATCATTTGAAATGAAATTTGTTGTAAAAAAAAAATAAAGTATAAATTTATTAATTTATTTTTTTTATTTTTTTTTTCAATTAGGCGGGAAAATATATTAAAAGATCTAAAATAACCACGGATATGCATGTTGCAAACACTCCTTTAGAAGAATTACCGCTCGATGATGATAATAATTCAGTAAAAGCATTAGAAATCTACAAAGTTTCCACACGATCAAAAAGGCGTTGGGGATACATTCACGTCCCGTCAAAAGAATTAAACGGTTCAACAAATAAACAAAAAAAGAAAATGAGAAGATGGGGGTTTGTAGCCCCTGTTGTTGGCATACCGAGCGATTTTCCCGTACTTTGTTCAATTACACCACCAATAAGACATATAAGTCCAAAATTATATTATAATTATATATAAGTTTAAAAAAGTATTATTATTTTAAGATATAATTGTAAAAAAAGACTGCTGGTCAGTAACCCTTTTAGGTTATTATTATAGACATGTGTATATAATCAAAGAAAACAAAAAAATTGTAATATACTGATTTTAAGAGATAAAGAGAAAAAAAAATTTTTTTTTCCTGTGATAATAAAAAGATAAACTTTATAAAGAATTTTCAATCATCCTGTGTAAGATCCCATGTAGTGCACATTATGTCTTTGCTGCTTAATATCTATCGAGTGGTTCACGACATTAATTATGTTTTGAGATTTCTCGAATAAATTTAAACTCCTCAAATACATGGAACATATCATTTACACAATACAATGTATTAGAGATCGATAATAATCCCGAAATTAAAAAATTTAATTTACATTTTACCTTTTTTATATAAAAAGTAATCTTATGAATTAGGAAACCCTAATTCCCGATTATAAACCGCTCGCATTGTTACACTAATGTTGTTCAAATTTAATAAAAAGTACTTATATGCCTTGTATTCGGTTGAACTCTTCTATCATTAATTAAAATTTCCTTAGGATTTCTTCTTTTTAAAAAATAAAAAATTGGGAATGCATTATTAAGCATTTTAACATTCCATACCCAACATTCTCCTCTTTCTTACTTCCTTTTTTTTCGCTACCTTCACCCTTCCCGTTATCTTCTTTCCATTTTCCTCTATATCATCCATCCTTCACCAAAGCGAAATTAAAACCTAAACAAATCCAACACAAAAAAAATATCACTTCAACCATGCAATCGCTTACCACAATGTTCTCATCCATCCGAACTCAATTCGCCATCAATAATTATAGAATCAATATATCAACTTCTAATACTACTTTGGTTGAATTAGAACCTTTTGAAAGAACCCTAATTCATTCTCTCATCGCTCTAAGCCTTGCCTTGGTTGTTTATGTCGCCTGGGATCCACGTGTAGAAGGAGATTTGTTGGCCGTAAAATTAATCGAATATAATTATAATCTTGTACATTATGAGTAATGAATAATGATTAATTATTTTTTTTTTTTAAACTTTCGTTCAATCATCCTAAGGCAATTCATATTTATTAGAATAATAGAGATTTTATTTAATTCACATTTATCCATTTTTTTTCCATTCGGATTGTATAAAAGGTGGTTATAAAAAGCATTTCTTGTATTTAATTTAATTTTATTTTTATACTTTCATCCCATCACAACATATAGCATATAGAATTTAAATTTAAATTAATGTTTCTACCTTTATCCATTAATTAATCGACTTCACTTTAATCCCGACTTTGTCTCCTCCCTTCTTCTTGATGATCATCACCCTCCTCTTTGTTAAACTTACCTTTTTTTTCTCCGCATGATTGTACATTCCCTTGTAAATATCTTTTTAAATTTGGAAATAGAAATCCCAGTGATTTTAATCGCAACATTTTCTCATTCCATTTTACGATCCCCATCCTTCTTCAATTAATGATTTCAATTTTTAAGGAATTTATGTATTTATTGATTAAATACCTTTTTTTTTTTAATTTACAACTTTTGTTGAGTCAAAATACGAAGTTGGAATATATAACATGTAAACTGAAATTTAAATAAAAAAAAGTGTTTGATTGCGAAAAATAAATTTTTCTTTTTTAAATTGTAATAAATATCAATTAGGTAATTTCTGGTCCAATAGTTACTGCGTCGAGGTGACTGCGGATAAAATCCTTCCCCAAAAAAAAATTCACTATAGGGGAGATAAATTTGGGTTATAAGAAAGATGGGGCAAATAAACGAGCAATCTCAAATGGAAAATAATAATAAACGATTATTTTAATGGCTATTTATGGCCTAAATGAAAATCACATTTTTCCGTTAAAAGCCCTTTTAAAGATTGATGTGATGTCGATCTTAGAAATTTCTTTATTTAACATCTCTTTTTTCTTTATTCCCCAAAAAATTCCTACTTGAATTTTATGTTGCTGATATGGATCTCTATCATCAGATAAAGGCGAAGGTAGAAGAAAATTTAAATGTAAAAAGCAGGGCGGTCGAAACCGAAGAGCCTGAAACTAAAAAGGACCCCGAGGGTGAATTAGAAACGTATTGTTTACTTTTTCCTACTTATGCCACTAAAACTTCTGAAGGTAATACATTTATCATGTGATGTCTAATTAATTAGTTTGATAAAAAGTTTATGATTTTTTTTATTAGGCGTATCGACTGATCAATGGAATATTCGTATTCGCGGTTGGGCATTTTCTGCTCCCAAAAAAAGTAGAACGCGCAATTTATTCTTGGGTAATCATCAAACATCATTATTATACTTTAAAAGAAAAAATAAATTCAAACTCTAACTCGATTGTGCTTTTAAATCAGGATTAACATCATTGGCAACAGGAATTAAGAAAGATGATGAGAGATACCAGTTCTTAGAAACGCGCACATCATATTTCTGGGCAAGCAACATTAGTCAAGGGGAATTTTCATTGCAAGTTGAAGGGTTGACTGACTCCAACAAAATGTCCATTGAAGGGGATCCTAATGATGAGGGAGCATTCACGTCTACAACGGCTCCCAGTGGGGAAGGCTCTACGACCACGACAGCAAGTGTAAATGTACCTGATGTTAAAAAAGTATTGGGTCACGCAGAGAAAATAATTAACACAGTATCTCACCCAGAAAGTGAAATTACTCGCATGAAAGTTGTTCCAAAATTAGGACACGTAAGTGGTAGTTTGGCAATTCCAAAACAAACTGTTATCAAATGGATTGAAGAAGAAAATAGTGAAAATATTGTCACTGGATTTATTCATAATTTCATTGGAGGTAAAGATAAGAATAGAGTTAGATTATTGAAAATTAAAGCTTATCAAGATAATGATGCCGAACCTAGTTTTGGTGTTGTAAATCTCGTTGAACCTGAAGGTATTTCCATCATTTCCGTGAGTGTTACTTTAAAACTTTATCTATTTAAACAAATTTTTATTATATTATATAATGTAATTAATGCTTTTTATATTTAGGATATTGATGATACAATTAAAGATACAAATATTCTTCATGGTGCAAAAATTGTCTTTACCAACACATTTTTACAACCTTTCAAAGATGTAAGTTAATTTTTTAATATATATTTTTTTTTTCGATAAATCATAATATATTCAAGTATTAAACGATCGAATTCTATTATTAATTAATTAAAGGTTCAAGGAATGTCTGATCTCTATCGTAAATTTGTAAGTTGATTTCAATCTTTTATCAAGAATCTTCACAGAGATACTGATTTTTATTTATTTATTTAATTTTTTAAGTATGAAAAAGGGGCGTCTATTCATTATGTATCCAATTCACCATGGCAATTATTCCCATCTTTAAAGTCCTTCTTCCAAACTTATAATTTCCCTCCTGGGTCAGCACATTTTAAATTTTATGATGGATTAATTAAAAGCGCTTATGAACAAAAGGAAAACCCTATGGCTAGTAAATTTATGTATATTAGAGAATTACTTAAGGTAATAATACCATATATAAATATAAAAAAATATATATATATCTGTTTTCGTGTTTAACCCAAAATTGAATTTAAAAATAATTAAATTTTGTATTTTGATGTAATAGGATTTCCCTAATCGTAAATTTATTCTTATTGGGGATACTGGTGAACTTGATCCAGAATTGTATGTCATTATTCAACATTATCTTATCATTATGAACCAAACGGTTTAACATTTATTTTTTTCATTTAGATACACAACTATCGCAAGAGAAAATCCTGGAAGGATTCTTCGTATATATGTTCGAGATGTCACAACGGAATATGTAAAAGATTTGCCGGCACAAAAACCAAGACATTCATATACCCAAACCTTCCCAACCATTTATAATTATCTTCGTAATTATTATTCTAGTATTGACGAAGAAACTGGTACTGAAACAAAAGAAGAAGAGCAAGCAGGAAAGGAAGTGGTAGATGATGTTATTACACAACATGCAGCAGCAGCTACTGCAGGAGAAACACTTCCCCATAAGCCTGAACGAAAATCAAGTTTAACCAATCGATTATTAGATAAACTTCATGTAGACATTTCATATTTACACGGTACTTCGACTCCAATGACTGATTCACCTGATCCTATGAATGATACTTCAAATAAACCAAAAACTCCTTTAAGCGCCAGAATATTAACACCTGAACGAGCCGCTTCTCTTTCTTCTAAATTTTCAAAATTACGTTCAACATCTTCGGGCAAGAGTGATAAAGAAGATGACAATAATTTATTGGATGAAGAAGAAGATGATGGAATATTGAAAACTCCTTTAGAAATGTTCCAAGAAAGATGTGTCTTATTGAAACAAGGTTTACCTGATGATTTGTTCCATACCTTTACTGACGCTAAAGAATTAGAAAATGACCCCGTTATTAAAGAGGCAATTAACTATTAAAGGAACAAACATCACTTATTTAATTGTATAATTGTATTATTTATTTCTTTCATCAAAATTTATATTTATTTATTTAAATAAAACTAACACCAATTTCAAGTGGGATTGGATTTCAAATAAGTTTTTCCAGATGGTTGTGAACCTTTTTAATACACGAAAAAAAAAGTATTTCATAATAATTTAAAATTGGTGAATTATAAAAAAAAAATGTACACAATGACGCACAAAAAACGTGAATTACATAGGGCATCCATCTACATATTCATCAATTTTCGTTAGTAACAGAGAAATATCGACTGGAAAGAATTATTTCACCTTGAATAATTGCTCTCAAAAAAAGAGTTTGTATATGCGATTTTGTAGTTACACTTAAGAACTAATTTACTTATTATATAATAAACTTATAAATCTTAAAAAATTGTTGCGTTGGACTAATATTGATTTTTGTTTTATGAGATAAAAATTGATTGGATAATCCTCGCGGTCCCGTCGTAATTCGATTAATTGGGTGCGTTCACAAATTCATTTGGATTGGATTGAGTCGACGTCTTAATCCAATCCAAATTCACAAATTAAAAATCCG